ATTCTCATAAATGTATGTTTTTTTTTTCTCGTAACTTCATCCTCTAAATATCTTTTCTTTTTCCCTTTAACAACTGACTCACTTTAAAACTCTATCATAGCTATCAAAGGTAGTGGCCGAGTAATGCAAAGATGAAGTCTGACAGGACAAAACCTGTGGAAGACGCTTAAAATTATTTTTAAAACCATTGATGTTTTATGAGGGTCAAATAACCGAGAATAAAAATATGACACTTTTTATGTCAGGCAGAGCTTAGTTCTGTGTAATGTGCATAGAAATGTTAAGAAAATGAAATCATGGATTCACAGCAAGAAGAAGTCGCTGTTCAGCAGTAACCATTACTTATGGACATGTGAGCCGACATGTTCTCAGCAGAACTCTTAAGTATTCAAAGCACGGTGCCTCGGCTGACATGCTCACCCTCCATTCCCCTGCTGGCGACCTTCACAGTGAAGTGCTCGGCAAACAGCACTCAGATCAGGTATGGCCTTTAAAGACAAGTGGCTCTTGCTGCGCGCCACCACATTAGCCACTCAGGAGTCTAAAGAGGCGGAGGAGATGTGCGTCCGCATGTCTGATACTCAGGGAGGTTTGGGAATTCAGCTGGTGTCTGTGCGACTGTCCTGTCTCCCCCCACTGTGAAAAGGGTGATCACAGACAGGAAGCTGCTGAGCTGACCTCAAACTGGGCCCCGACTCTCGTCGTCCTGACTTATCAAGTCAAACAGGCAGAAACATGTTGGATTTTTCTTTATATCAGCTCAAAGGAATCAAAACAAGGCTCCAGCTCAGTCTATCTCTGGTGGCAGGGTGGAGGGGGGGTTGGAGGCTGAGGCTGAGTGTCAGCTCTCCTCCCAGTCTCCTCTGACAAACAGCACTGAGCACCATAAGCTGGGATATTCATGACATTTTGAAATGTGTTAGTAGTTGCTTAAAAAAGGGGATTTGGGGGATTTTCAAATGATTCCCTCAAGAGTTTCAGTTTCTTTTCTGACACGAAACTAAGCTGGATACTCTGGATTTAAACGTTGGTATGAGCTTGTCGATGTTACGCTCCTCACCATCAAAGATGTGTGGGGAAAAAAAGATACGTTTCAAAATGAAGGAATGAACCGAACGTGACACTCGCCGCACTTGAACAGCCACAACGCAAATGGGAAGCCTCAATGTCAAAGGACGCCCAAGTCTCCTAGTCAATGTTAACACTGAGGTGATTTATCAGCCGCTGCACAGATGACAAAGACTTCTGCTCCCAGAGTTTTGGTTGACTTTGTAAACAGATGGTTCGCTTTACAGCAGCCAGCAGGCAGGACGACCATCAAGGGCATTTT